ATTTCAGATGCTAAATGAATCCGAACCAGAACTCGCCACCTGTCATCGTTACGTCGACGATCATCCAGATCTCACCAATGAACCGGCGATTATGGTCATCTTTGCCGTCCTCTACGTGCATATCTTTGTGCTCGGCATCGTCGGAAATGTGGCCGTTCTGTGAGTGTTTTGGGTTTTTTTTTCGAGCTCTATTTTGTATATATGAGATGTTGGATCCAAATGCAAGCAAACTTGCTTTACCTAGCTACAGAGGTGTCATGTGGTAGCGCTTCATTTCAAAGGTTCAGCGTCCTGATGCGAAAATGAAAAAAATGCCGTTTTTGCTACGTTGCTACGACGTGCATTTAACGCGGCGCACCCGTCAATGCCAGCTTAAAGGTCTGGACGCACGAGCTACCCAAACAAGCGCGAAGTCAGTTGGGGGGGGGGATAGTCGCCAGCGAGTCTAGACCACGGATTTATCCTTTTATATGTGCTTGCTTCAGGAGATACTGTTCCCCGGTGCCTTTCCCACTCCCACTATGTCAGCTTTTCAGAGCAAAACGGTTGTGGCGTGGTCACGCCCATTACCTCCCCCACCTCTTCAACTACCATAACCTCCCAAATATTCAATGATTAGTGAGCGATGGTTGAGAAGCTGAAAAGGCAGAGATCATTATCTTACCTTTTTGACTGACAAATGGGAGGGCGGAGGGCAGGGAGGGGAGGATGGACATATTATGTTCCTAGTACAATAACCTCACATCGTGAAGGGAGTAATACCTAAGTGGGTCATATAAGTGCTGCTCAAACACGTTCTCAAACACACACAAGCGCATGGGCGGAAACCGCAACCGCTATGCCTTGTTCAGTGGTGAAAATTATTACCGTTCCCTGCAATTTTCAAGGATTCTGACCTTGTATAGCTGTGATGGCTTTTGTAGTTTTCATACTCATCATTTCAGGTATCTAACATTGAAAAATCGTCATCTACAGTCCGTGCAGAATATTTTCATCCTGAATTTGGCTGCCAGTGATGTGCTCATGTGCTTAACGTCGTTTGCCTATTACACCGATTACGAACGTCTACAAGACCTGGTTTTTCGCATCACCCGTCTGCAAGCTCATTCCACTTGTGCAGGTTCATTTTCTTCTGCTTCCATTTGCTTTTGAATGCGATGTGGCCTATACAATGACTTGCGGTGGCCAGCCGCTCTACAATTCAAATGCTTTTACACCTCGAAGGAGTATTCAAAAGGCTCCGAAGGGCCGTCGAAGGAAGCTCCATAGCATCTAGTATTCAATGATGACTGATAAAGTGGTCTACTTCTTTGGGTTGCACTATTTAATGTTGTTTGGCTGATGGTTTAGGAGACGAAATGGCTCATGCAATGACTAACGTGGCTTCATTCCCCTATGAGCTTCAGGACCATTAAGGATGCGCGCCATTAGTTTCCTCAAAGATATAGAAAGCCGCATGTGTGTGGTTCTCGATGCTTTCACCGGTTAATCACTAGTTTGCCAGAACGATTAAAAAGTAAAAGTAAAGGAAATTGAACGATTGAGTCATAAACTCCGCCGACCTACTCCAAGAATCCTGCCATTATTCAGAGTCATTCAAAAGTGCACCAAAACGTCATTGGCTTTTACCGCCTCCACGACTGAGGGGATCCTAAGCTGCTTTGCAGGAAAGTGGTCAAACACCACGTCATCTTTCCCATGCTTCGGCTGATTGAAAGCATTTATTTATCTGCTTGTTCGTTTCATTCACGGTCACCATCAGAGGGATTCCAAATAGTATTCCGCAAAACCATAGCACTCTAGAAAAATTGAGAAAAATAGAACGGATCAAGGCAGGGTAAGGGGTCTGAAAAAAGTAAACACCATAAACAAGTGTGCCCCTGTTGGGAAAGTGGCGGGCGCCCGACACGAGCCTTTTTCTACAACGCGCTGTTTGCATATGATTACTGGAGATTGCTGAGGGATTTAGCTCCCGAAGAGCAAATCGAATCTTACCTCTATACCTGCGGAAAGGGGACCTGAAGCATGGGGGACGGCCCTAATATCTAGAAACTGACAATTATCGAGCCCTCTACCACATTTCCACTAAAGTCACTTATTATACCAATTTCACTTAAAATCGGACACTTTTCAACCAAATCGGACACTTTTCAAACCAAATCGGTCACTTTTCAAACCAAAATGAGCACCAAAAAGGACACTTTTCAAACCAAATCGGGCACACGCCTTACAATGAACAGTTGACAACTAGACCACACTAGGTACTGCTGCAAGCCCCAGCCCAATACCTCCGCCCATTTCTCAGCGCGATGGCGGTTTTCCAATACGTTTTATGAATTCTGCTTCTTCGAGTTTTTTCACTCTTGCTAGCTGCACACACATTTCAACTGGAAAGAATTGGTATAGACACATATATTACTCCGCCCACTTTTCAATGAAGTGACGCAAGTTTTAAATTTTTAGAACTTTTCTCGACAACGATGTTTTCGCATTCAATCTTCACAAAACGAATATAGCCGTGCATTTACACACTAGGACACTAAGCCCCGCCTCTCTGACCACGCTCACTTTTGTTTATCGCGGAATTTTGATTTTTCTTCTGAATTTTCACTTTTTTAAGCTGTGAGAGCCCGCCCACTACTGGGAGCTCCGCCCATTTTGTAGAAGCTCCGACCACTTTTCAAAAATGGTGCAGATCAGCGACTAGTGACCGTACTAGCAAGTTATGGCCTCTCCCATCACATAGAATGAAAAAAAGGGAAAGACCAGAAAAAAAGGGGAACTTTGTTCCGGGTGACGGTAGAGGCCAACCTGCTAGTACGGCCACTAGCTCGCCGATGTTTATCATGTTTGAAGAGTGGGCGGGGCTTATACAAGGTGGGCGGAGCTTACATTAGTGTGCAGGACTACTTGTAACAGCCTTAAGAAGTGTAAATTCGGGAAAAAAATTAAAATCCCGCGGAAAATTAAAGTGGGCGTGGTCGGAGGGGCGAGGCTTAGTGCGCTAGTGTGTAAATGTACGGCTATATTCGTTCTGTGAAGATTGGATGCGAAACGTCGTTGTCGAAAAAAGTTATAAAAATTCAAAACTTGCGTAACTTCATTGAAAAGTGTGCGGAGTCATATATATGTCGTACCAGTGCTTTTCAGCTGAAATATGTGTGCAACTAGCAAGAGTGAAAAAAATTCGAAGAAGCAGAATTCATAAAACATTTGGGATTTGATTTGAAAAGTGTCCGATTTTTTTTCTGGAAGGTGTCCGAATTGGTTTGAAAAGTGTCCGATTTAAAGTGAAAATGGTATGATCGAAAACGTCGGGCGGTATGGTGTACGAAGGGCGGAAAGAGCTTGCTTCCGGCTGCGTTACTCTATCCGATCAGTGATCGGTATAGAAAGAAAGCAAGCAGAGGTAGAAATGCCGCGGGTGGGCCCGTTACACCCCTCTTGAAACCGCTCAGACGAAATCGGCTGTAGAGACTCCTAACTGATTTTGACTTGTGATGAAATAGAAATTTCTTTTCTGATGAAATATTCATTTCAGGGTGCATCGGTGTTTGTGTCAACGTTCTCTCTTTCGGCAATTGCGTTAGATCGGTAAGTATTTTGAAGCAATATGATTATGATGTCATATTGTGAAGGGTGAGCGGACTCAGTCGCCTAAAATTGCACTTCAAGGGAGGCATCGATTTTCACGTAAAAGTTTCATATGGCGTTTAGGGAAATACGGGAAGATATGGCAAAGTTCCTTCGGGACATATGCCATTCTTCCCGTTGCCATTCCTGAGTGTATTCTTTTATTCTGTTGTGGTTTCCAGATTTCATCAGGATCCAAAGAAGAAAGGATCCATGAAGAGGCTCAGAAAGGGAGAGCTCTCGCGAAATGTTTTCTCTCATTTTTTTTATTTTTCCAATGCCACGCTGACCTGAAATTATAACGGTTGCGCGGAGTACAAAGAATGCTAGGGTGGCGTGGCTTATCGCACTTCACTGCACTTACGCCAAACCTTGTCCTGGACCTATCCTCTTTTTTTTATCCACTTATTTTGAGCTTATCACCTTTTCCTCCCAATCCATGCGACCCTTCGACTCACTCCAATCCACCGACAAACTCCTCCACTATCCGAAATACACCAATTAGGAAGGTTATTTGCGCTTGACTCTAGCTCATCCAACTGAGTCAGCCTCAGCTATTGGAGAGAGTTACCTCCACACACAGGCGGAGGTGGTATAGCGGCAAATGACACGCTTACCACACTCGCGGTCCATGGGTCGAATCTCGGGTCGAATTCAGCCTTGGCCGTTGAATGCTTGTACCCTCACGAACGGTAAATTGGTGCTAGACTGGTCAGGGAGGATAAAACACTGAGTAGACGATTCAGCACATCGGCTGGGCCCTACAAATCCTCGTAAAAGCCACATCGCATTCAGTAAGCCATTACGATTCTGAATGGTAGTAGAATGCGTGCCGCATCCCAAAAACGAACTGATCAACGGCGGACAACTTTGTCCTTTTTTAGCCCCCGCAGAAGCCCCGCCTTGGAGGCATGAATGCATAACTCATCTCTCTCTTCCTCGTATAGCGCAGAGTGAAAATGACCTCAAGAGAATGTGATGTTTGAAAGTCTAGTAGTCAGTTAACACGTTCCGAACGCGTGACACACATGGTCATACTTTTTTCCTACGCCGTTTCATACGGTCCATTTGGCTTATATGTTCCGAAATTATCAGAACTCGTTTTTGTGGCGCAGAATGCATATATTTCATAGAAAAAAAAGAAACAAACAGGTGAAGTTGCTGATTATCGGTTTAAAAAATGACCCTTAACTCCCGGATGGCCTTCCCATTTTGGGGCCTCCAATTAATCCTTTCCATCAGTTTTCTATTCATTGTCAGCGGCACAAAGCTGCAAGGGAGCCCCCATCCACATGCATTTCAGTGTGTTGGTGAAATTATAATAAGAATAGGAAATGGGATTGTTAAAGCTTTAGGGCTCTTTCTAGTAAAGGAGCCAGGTGTGCTCCCAGACTAATTCTAATGAGAGATGGCAGATGTCGCACCGTTTGTCCCAGCAGGACCTCATCTACAAATGCGTAACGTGTAGTCACTGCGCTTCTGAACCTAACCCTTGCTGTAAATGGCTTGAAAAATTTAATGGGAGACTACTTCTTTCAATGAAATGAGGTCCCTAATAATTGTGTTCTAGGTATAATCTCGTGTTCGACACATCGTCATCCATTGCGGTCGCGAGGTGCATCGGTCGTTGCGTTGCTGTTGTGGATCATTTCAGCACTTGTCTGTATGCCTTATGGATGGTATATGGACGTTGTCAGTATTGGTGGTTTATGTGGAGAGGTACGTTGAGCTGTTCAATTGCTCGATTAAATGTTCTTTTTTAAACGAGCTTACATTAACCGTCATCATTTTACCGTTTTTTGCTTTCAAAAGCGATCGGATACGTTGACTTGAAGGCGGCGCAGGAGATCCAGCGTCACTGTTTGAAGAGAGTTGTGCGCAGCCCGTGGGTACTTGTGCACGTGTACGAAAGCCCTCCTATCTACCAAAAGTTCTTCTGTCAGTGACGCTGTACTTTCTGCCCACCTCCTAGCCGACGCTCTGGCTGCCTCAAAAGATCTTTAAATGTCATATGGTCTATCAAAGTATAAAAGTAAGGAGGGGAGAGGGGAGGGAGGGGAGGGGAGGGGAGGGGGGGGGGGGCTGAGTCACAGCTGTATTGTCACTGGTTCCAATTTCAGTTCTGCACTGAAAAGTGGCCTCTTCCGGAAGTGCGCAAGGGTTACGCATTGATGGTGTTAGTGATGCAGTTCATATTTCCATTCGCAACAATGGCTGTGTGCTATTACACGATATTCTCCCAAGCTTCGCAAAGGTACTCAGCTACGGTTTATTCCTTGTGGCTAGGAGATACATTTTTTTTCATCGTCGAAATAGCGGATAAATGGGCAGAGGCTTCCTACCGCTGTACGTTCTTCACCGACCAATAAGGAAAGCGCAGTGGTTTTGAGTCTCCGCCCATTTTCTGCCCATTCGAATTTCGAAGAACGTGTCTTAATACCACAGGTCCTTTCTAAATAGAAACTCGCAGCTGAATTACGTTCCTTCTTCCAGGACGGAGTCGAAACTGAAGAAGCTCAGCGAACGATCACAGCTGTTGGAAAGTGCCACCGGGAACTCGTCACCGTCGACGAAAAACGTGCGTTCTGCTCCTTTTATGCTTTCCATTGACTGCCTTTATTGTCTCATTGTCTCAAGCCAGACGACTCATTTCCTATGCACTGCGGTTGCAAACATTCGTTTCACTATAATCGACATGACAAGCCGGAAATGTTTTTAGTACCCCTTTATTCTTCTGGAGAAATATGCTAGGGCGTCTAGCGGCAAATGGCGTACCACGCAAGTGGTCTGAAAGCGCTTGCTTTCAGCGTTGAAACATATAATGCAGTTCACATGCGGAAGGGGAGGCAAAAAGGGGAGTTACTGGACACATATACTCCTTTCCATTGCGGACTGTCGGGCGCATCAGCCAGTAGGAGTGCGCACACTGTTTGAAGCCGTTCCAGCCTTTTCGGTTGAAACGCGTATGCGACAAAAAGTGGTAGAAACGAGTAATACAAAGGATATAATGCTGTTATGTCTATTTGATCGCCTTCAATAACTGGTGGCAAAAGACTTTGGGAACCGCGGGAAAACGCAGCCGCACTGACCCGGCCCCGACAGTCCTAATGATGAGGAGAGTACGTAGTTGTGAAAACGACAAAATTGACAAGGGGTGGATTGAATCGATATTCAAGTCACTTTATACTCACTAGAGCTCACTGAGTCGATCATGGAAATATTTCCCTCTATTAGGAGTTCAAAAACAAATTCCGCGACAATCGCGTGGGCACAGACTCACGACCTTAGTGCCATATCGCCACGTCATAGGTCCCTCTAATTACGAAGGCAATGAGTTCTATGAGTTTCTCTCATTTCTGCACTCCTGCGGCTAATGATGAATGTGCTTTTGATGGCTCATGCCTTTTGGACTCCAGCAATTTTCGGCACCGAGCTCATTTTTAAATTGCCTAAGTCACCAAACCGATAAAGACATGTACATCAAGGGTTATTTAACATCGTGATTACACACTATGACACTCATTCTTGGCGCTGGCGCCAAAGAGATGACACTACGATTACTTCCTGGGCTCTGCCTTAGCAGAGCGCAGATAATCGTAGTGTCATCCATTAGCGCCAGCGGCAAGAGTGAATGTCATATTCGTAATCAGATGTGGAACTACCCCTATATTCAAGTTTTTAGCGGATTTGGGACTTAGACAATTTAAAAATGAGCTCGGTGCCGAAATTGCTGATGTCCAAACGGCATTAGCCCTTGTGGTTGGCCCAATCATGAGAATCATGTTTAAGGTGTTGTGTATTTCAGGACGGTGGACCGCACACGCTCACACATGAAGAACAACAGCGTCTTTCAGTGCTGGCTTCTCAAAGAAGAACCACCACAATTTTAGCCTCTATGGTGAGTTCTTCAGCAGACGTACTCTGAATTAATATCAAGGTAAATTTATACTCAGGACTCGTGCAGTTTTTCCCCAATTTTGAAGTTTGACAATTGAAGTCTTACTTGTGGGTTGAAAAACTCCAACCCACAAGTAAGTATGGACTCCTGGCGCAAACAGAAAAGTCTTTTTGAATCAGTTGTGAAGCTTGCAAACAGCAGTGCAGATATACAGACCTACTATGCAGCATTCAACTAACGCCCGCTTTCAAGCGTGAGCACGGGTTCCTGTGCCTAAACACGCTGTGCGCGCACGAACACGCGCTGCTGCGCTTGAACAGCATTTGCTAAAGCCCGTCTGAGCGCTTCACACGCCTGCAGTTACAAGCGCGCTCGGTCCTATTGTACTCTTCCCCCCTGGTGACCTCCTTAACACTGAATATCACATCCGCTTGACCCAAACCGCCTGGCGCATGCGCAAAGGCGCCGGAAGTTCCAGCAAAAAGGTACTAAAAAAATTTTTCAGCAAAAATACTCAAAATTTTTTTGCTGAAACCTAGCTACAACGGTAATCCGGTGAGCTGATCACGAATAGAATATTACTTCTTGGCGCCCATTTGGCGCCATTAGGCACCAGTCTGTCGCCACAGCTTTCTCTCCAAAATTGATGAAACCTTGTATGACATGTATGATTAACTGACATTATGATCGGCATCTATTTCTGAGCACGACTTGGCGCCACCCCTTTTTTCACCAGAATCGGTGAAAACTTGCGTAATAGGTTTGTTTGATGGGGAACCTTAACATGAACAAGACTATCGCATCCGCTTGGTCCGAAAGTGACTGGCGCCCGCGCCACACCGCCAGCATCAAAACACCCTGAAACCAAACAACTAAAGTCGATGAGATTCCTATATGGGGTAATTAGGCATCCTTATTACGAATATGACATTTACTCTTGGCGCCGGTGCTAATGGAGGACATTACGATCACTTGCGCTCTGCTAAGTGAGCCTCGCATGCGGGGAACCACTCCTTCTCCCAGGCTCAGCTTTAGCAGAGCGCATAATAGCTCTACTGTCGGAAAATAAGTGCAATATTCGTGATTAGGGCATCAAACAAACCTATTACGCAAGTTTTTATCGATTTTGGGGGAAGAAGGGTAACAGATGTCAGAAATAAATGCCATATCCGTGATCATCATGTCAACTAACCCCATATACGGGATTTCATCAATTTTGGCGAGAAAGATGGTGCCACAAACTGGTGCCTAATGAAACCAAATGAAGCCAAATGGCGCCAAGAACCAATGTCCTATTCACGACCATGGCTCCCGATTACCCCTGTAATCAAAGTTTCAACAAGAAAAATTTTAGTATCTTTTAGCTGTCCCGGCGCCTGTGGCGCGGGCGCCAGGCGGTCTCGGGCCAAGCAGAAATGATATTCATGGTTGGGAGGCCACTGGGGTAGGAATAGTACAATAGTAGTTCCCAGCGCGCTTCTAGCTGTTGTTAAAGGGCCTAAACGGGCTCTAACATGCAGCAACGCGTGTTGCGCGCTTGAAAGTGCGTTAAGTCTGAACGCCTTACGTGGATTCCTAGGAGTGAGAACATGGTCGTACTGACTCGCTGAGGAGTATGTGTTTACCCCCACTGGATCGACGGCTTCATTGGTTTTTTTTGATTTACAATCGGTATTTATTCAGCTGAACTTGATCTCCACTTGATAGAAATATTTCGGGGTTTATGTTACTGATAAAGGGTCCCATATGGTTCTTTTTTCCTGCTAAGGCGAACGCTGAGGTGGCGCGTGCAACTGGGAGGCTCCTACTATCCCTTGATATCCATGTGGTGATTCCATAGTAACTCAGTGAAATGCCTTACACCAGAAGCCATCCTCACTCGTGCAGATTATCTTCAGGTGTTGCTGTTTGGGTTCACATGGCTTCCACACAACTGTCTACACTTTGATTATCGAGTACGACGAATCATTTTTCCACAATGGCGAAAGTGACAACACCTACATCGTTTCGATGATCGCACACCTGTGAGTTACGACGAACCATGCGTGTATTCCGCTTTTGACCTACTCCAATTACTACTTGACAATTATCCAATATGACCATAGAACGGGACTTGCGTGATGAAAACTGATAGATAGTTCGCTAGAAAAGTGAGAATGTGCTCTTGGAGAATGACTACATTCATAGGATGTTAGCAAGGATAAATCACACCATTCTGGACCCTAGCAAGGGGACTTCCCAGATCATGCAGCGCTTTTTCGAAATGATTATTCACATTGTTAGGAGTACATACGTGGACCAAAAAATTTATTTCTTTCCTGGATGTTCTGTGAATGCCGTAAAGGGAGGAGGGGTACAATTCTGAGAGGTCATGACGACCCCGATGATTGAGGACGTTTTTGTTGTTGCGCAAGAGATTCGAATGTTTTGTTCGGAAAAAAGACAAAGTTCGGATAAAGACAGATGCTGGGACGTGTCATGGAGATAGATTTGGCGCGAAGTCAGTTGTCATCGCTTGCCCCACTAAATAAGTGAAAGAGAACGTGCTGGCGCCGCGCCAAATCCAGCTCCTTGATACTCTAGTATTCATAGCGAACAACAAGACTATACTGCCAAAAAAGTTTGTCACCATGGGAAACCGCACCAGCAACCTATTCCTCACTCATTTAACAGAATGGAATCACATGGAGATAAATAAAGGAGATTAGCTTCTATTTAGGGTCCCAAATAGGGACTCTAAACAGAAGCTAGAATGGAATGATAGAATGGAAGTTATATTACGATTTCAGCATTTCGATGACGACAAACGTAGCAAACCCTATACTCTATGCATGGCTTAATCCATCCTTCAAGGAAATGCTGCTCACATCCATTAGAGGCAAAACAAGGAAACAGGACAAGCAATCTGCCAAAGACACCATTATCCGGGTAAGCGAAGTTCCACCTACGCTGGCATGTTATGCACAGCGCAAAGGTTGTTGGGAAATGATCGTGATGAGAATAGGCCGAGTAATAGTTCGCGCTCCGCCAGGGTTTATGACCACTGCTTTGCTTAGGCGGAGCATTTACACTTTCGAAGACCGCACTTGTAAACTCGAAACCCTTGAAATGCGGTAGGCTTGGCCACGTGCTTCATTGTGTGCTTCCTCCTTCGGTTCGCTGGGGTATTTGCATTACGAAACAATTGTAAGCATGTCGTTGCCAGCATAAGGCGAGATGTAAGTTGTCTTGAACTCAAATATTCCACGAATAACTCGTCCCATGCCACGTTCAAATGAAGTGCGCAGCCACGCCTACCACGCCGTGGGGATGCGCAGTGTAATTACTCACATTGCCGCGATCCACTCCTCTAATCTCTATGTAGCGCATGACGCACTTCTACATTTTACTGTTTTTACCTATTTTGACTACTTCAGGTAACCAAACCATCTGAAAGTACTCAGGAAAAGGCCTTCTAAATGCTAACGTTGCTCAATCAACAGCCATCAATGACGACGACCAGTGGATCCACTTCACTTCCAACTAAGCGCTGACCTTTTTATGAAGAAATATGTGCTTGTTAGTTGATCGTTGCCCAAATTCCGGAGTTCAGGAGATCCGAGACGGGTAGACTAGCTAGTGACGCAGTGTACTCCTCTCTAATTGACTCGTCCCAGCACCTTTAGGCGCGGTCTACGTCCCGTACTTGCTTCACGGCCTTATCTCAAGAAATTCGACGTTGATGAATTCCTTTCTCAAGGAGGTAACGAGTATGATCTGATAATGTTCCTCAAAAATTGAAACGAAAAAGCCAGTTCATCGACCATCGAATCTTCTGACTAGGGAAGGTCGTCAAGTCGAAGTGACCATTTGTAATGAGATGTAGCTCATTAGATGCGGTTTTGAACGCTTATCTCGAATCTGCCCTTGAAATTTGCAAAGCGATTCTCTAAAAGGATTTATGAAGGTTCGTTAGAATTCGACTGAAAGAAAACGGAGTCGAGTGCGGTTGCCAGCCAGTTCGCATGAATAGCGAGGAAGCACCTTTCAGAACAACACCTGCATGGTATAGTGGCAATGGTCTTGCTTCGCGGGCGTTCCATGAAGGGTTAGACTTTCTGGAAGTGAAGTTGTTTCGTGTTCTGTGGGGAATGTCTCTTTTGAGTCTGAAAAACACTCAAACGCCACATGGGTGTCATGTTCGTGTTCAGGGAGGAAAACTACCCTTGGGAACATGTTTCTAGTTAAAAGTGAGGGTTTGACCTAACTTTGAAAAGTGCGGCAGCAGTTGATCGAATGATGTTCACCAATAGTTCCAGGGCCAATCTCTTGTCGCTTGTCTTCAGACGGAATTTTCGTTTAGATACCAGGAAAACTGGAGCAGTAACAAAATGAATGCGTAAGAAGTGGCAAGACGAGGCTTACCGCAGGAGAATGTACCTGCAGCTGAATAGGTTTGAACATCAACTGGACTAACCCATGAATGCTTCACTTTCGAAGTCAGGTCGATGCCAGATTTAGCTAGAAATCTCTACCTAGGCGTGGTTTGCTCCGATAAACAAGAATATGGCACTCACTCAGCGCGAAAACGCCTGCACTGTGCGCCAAGGGCACCTGCACATCCAAAAATTCTCCTAGATCACAAGGCACTAAGCGCGCCAGTAAGCGAACGCAAATTGTTTTTCAAGCAAGTCAAGAAGAGCGCTAATGTAATAGTGACGCTACAACCACTTTTTGCCACGTTTGCGCAAGAAGCAAAAAATTAAGCCCGGCAGGGATCCGATTCCACAACCTGTTGCGTGGTAAATGCGGTGGTAAAAGCTCCATTACTCCGTTCAGAGAATCGCTCTGCAAAGTTCGAAGGCAGATTCGAGGTCACCGTCTAAAACCACGTCTAGCGAGCTACATCTCATTACAAATCCACTTCGACCTGACGACCTTCCCTAGAGAGAAGGTCGTGGAACAAACGTCGTAGGAAGCCGGCTCAGCCGACTTGAGGCCGAAATGCTGGGCACAGTCAATTAGCAAGGAATGCTAGCTAACTAGAAATTTTGGCTCGTAACCAGTACCTGATTCGGATCTCTTAAACCTCACCCTCACGAGAAATGTGTATTGGTCTATTTTCCTCGACGGCTCATTACTTTCCCGCTTTTCCGTGCCATTTAATAGAAATTGAAGAGGTTATTTCGCGTATTTCTGATTGCTTTGGAATTGTATGACTTGAGCAAGCATGGCCCTAAGTGAGTGTGGAAGTGGCCCATATTAAGGTTCTAGTAAGTTATCTCCAATTGAGTGAAAGAGCCTATAAAGCGTGTACCTTACTTAATATTTCAAAATAAATCTTTAACGCAGAGGTTTTCATTTCGACGATTTTCATGTCACCCTCACTCGAATGCTTCGATTTCTCAGCAACAGGAATGTGAAAGAACGCATTTATAAAGCTGTAACCAAATAATGAACAATATACAGACAAGCGCAAAGGGTTTAACGGCGAGTGCCGTCCTCGAAGAAGACTCCTCCATCGATAGCACAGTACTTCGGGCAAATACCCTTCTCGCCACCAATTCCATCTGGTCCATGGTCACCTGGAGCTCCAGGATTTCCATCGGATCCTGGTTGTCCATCGGCTCCAGGAGGTCCTGGAGGTCCAGGTTGTCCTGCAATGATGGTAATTACTCAATGGTATGACAATACGAAGCATTAAAGATTCGGGGATACGACTTACCGGGTTGTCCATCAGCTCCGGGCTGTCCATCAGGTCCGGGAGGTCCTTGTGGTCCAGGCTCTCCAGGAGGTCCAGGCTCTCCAGGAATGATTGGCTCAGAGGCAGCGTCTTCTCCAGGTTGTCCAGGAGATCCCGGTGTACCAGGATTTCCGTTAGGTCCAGGAGGTCCCTTCGGGCCAGGTGGACCTGGGTTTCCACTGGTACCAGGTTGGCCAGGTTGTCCATCTGGTCCTGGATCTCCGGCTGCTCCCATAGGACCAGGTGGTCCAGGAGGTCCAGCTGGGCAAGGTTTACAAGGTGGCGGTGTGATTGGGTTGCATGGTGCCTGTGGTGGACGACCAGGATTTCCTGGTAGTCCAGGAGTTCCAGGTTTTCCATTGCGACCAGGTTTACCGGGAGTTCCTGGTGCTCCTGGTGGTCCAGGAAGGCAACAACCACTACATTTCCCACCGCCGCCCGTTTGTCCACCTGTCACACCCTCATCACCGCCGCCATATGCCTGACGAGCAGTTCTGTTCGCAAACGGTTGCTCAGCGAGATGATTGACTTCAGACCAAATGCCTTTGGCTGTTTTCTGGCAAAAAGTGATGTCAGTGTTAATCTGACGCTTCACTTGATTCACATAATTGTAGACCATCGGCAGAGTAAGGCAAACAGAAAGAACGGCGACTACAGAGAATGTGACGGCCGCATAGGAGACGAACCGATAGGCTTTGATTCGCTGTTCGATGTCCATGTTGGAGGGAGCTGTGGGAAACACCAACACCTCACCACTTTTATAGGACCATAAATCGGATCGGTTTTACGTCACCGTTGTCTTTGCATGAAACCCGCAAGAACAAGTTCGTATAAAAAATTTAGCATGTTTTTTCGGAGATTATACATAAGATTAGTAAATAGACGTCTGGCTATGTCAACCACCATCACACTTATTTTCATAGCGTCCGTGCGAATGTCACATGCAAACTGGATGTTCATTTTTCACTTCAACTAACAAGGAAGACGGTACCGATATATGCCTCTACAGTAATGAACAACTAAAACAAGAAAACTCTGAAATCCCAACAAAATGTACAGAGAACTTCGAAATAGCTACAACTCGTTTAACAAAAAGTCGCAATAAAAAAAATTATTGCACTTAAGTCGAAAACAAAAAGAAGACATCCTCCGAGATCCCAACAGAATGTACAGAAAAGTAAAGTAAAAAAAGAGGCACTATTCCAGTACTGAAAACTCGAAAAAGGAGCTACCCGCTGAAGACTCGACTTGACTAGATATTAATCAGTGTCCTGATCATGACTATGATATTCGTTTATGGCGGTAGCGCCAACCGAAGCCATTAGGCGCTACCATCTATCTCACCGAAATCGATGAAAACTCGTATGCGAGGGTTATTTGACATTCTGATCGCGAATATGACAGTCATCCTAAAAGCCGGCGCCAATTTAGGGCACTCTGATCATCTGCACTATGATAAGGCTGAGCATGGGGCAGGGGGGGGGGGGGGGCGATTAGGTGAGAAATATGACGGGGCCAAGTAGTGCCGCCAACTGCCGCCAGCACCAAAAATGAATGTCATATTCGTGATCAGGACACCCAATAACATCTGTAGGCAGTTTTAGCGGGAAAAAATGTTTTTGAGATTTTGGAATAGTAGTAGAGGAATAGTGTCGAAAAATTCAGAGCCTCCGATATATTCAGAAAATTTACACAAGAGGGAGCTAGTTCAGGAGATCCAAATCCCGACACACATCTGCAAACCTTCATTCCAAATATGGCGAAAACAGTACTTTCAAGTCAAAATCAATAATTTCAGGACAGCGCACGTCTCACAACCTTATTTCACGGCCATGACTCAAAAAGTCGATAATCGGTAGTTTCCTTCAAAAATTTGAGGAATACTTTTGGATGATTGAGCCATCATTTAGCTGAATGATAAATACAGTGACCATCGAAAGGGGAAGGAAGTTATTTTGCGACTGCCATTTCGAGAGATACAGTAATTAAGGGTGTAGATCGCAGGCTGTCATAACCTGATTGTTTTGACGACAAAGTGCTATTTTTAGGCCTTTCCACGACTCGGATCTCCTAACCCACCCACAAAAGAGCTAGCCTCTTCAAGCCACCAGAATAGAAAACTCCAATAAAAATTTCACTCGATATAATCAGAGTACCATTTTACAGCCGTATAGTGATTGTATTCGACGGCAGAAGCCAACGCTTACCAGTACTGAAGCAAAGCTAAATATAAAATCATGGATCTAAGTTTCTGAACCAGATGCCTACCTTCATACATGGATGAAAGGACCGTTTGCAATGACAAATTGCTCAAGTGAATCGACAAACTCCTGAAAAACGCCTTTTTCGACAAGTATTGAACGCAGCAGGGTTCAAAAACGAAACTGTGTGTAAGTTGACTTCCACTCAAGAAAAAAGCAAAAGAAAGCGTCAAAAACGCCTAAATAAGACCCCTAAGTTCAGTATTGCACAAGTAAACCAGGTAAAGAGTGTGCATTCGGATAAAATTCGCCTATAGGTAAAAGGATGAGGGATAAAGTCACTGAGGCTGATCAACCCCTTTTTGAGATGCGGCATACAGTCTAGTTCCCTTTTTCTAACTTCCATTGAGAAACATAGCGGCTAATTGAATGTGATACCAGCAAGAGAAGGCCTGGATGGTATATATGGGACCACACCGCACTCTTGGTAAGCTTGCCATTTGCCACTACACCACCCACTCCTCCGGCTATAGGTATTACAGCGAACTCTACTACACCACTTCCACCAATAGGTCCGTTCGCTTCCTGCGCAATTTCGAGGTGTGAAACGGAACTCCTGTACTTGCTCACCCAGGTTATCCACTTAAAGAAATGATAGTATTTCTTTGCTAGTCGCGAAATCGATCTTAGAATGTTTTAATCTATGAGAAAGCATTTTTTCGTTGGCAGGACGACTATGGATTCACATTTAACAGTCGCATAATAGTAGAAAGAGTAGAAGCCGTCTTACAGGTATGAGGCACTACGGTATTGAAATAAACGCGGAAATCAAATGCCCTTTGCCAGTTATAGAAAAGATTTTCATGAAGGAAATCCAGGCTGATCCTCTGTAAAAAAAGGTTATTTGGAAGAAGTCTCATATGTTCTACTACTCGTACGCCTACAAGAAAGAGGGTATCCTTTCAAATCTATTGAGTCGAGAAAGAAACATCCGCGAAACGGTTTCTTCTTCGATCGCCTATACCTCAGCGTTCCAGCACCGATGATACTTCTCGTGTTGACGTATAACCGACATCGAATGAGGGGTTCTCCGGAAAGGTGACCAGCGGGAAGGAAAGGGGGAGGAAAGTGGATTTCACCGTGCAAACGAATGAAAAACTGAAAATTCTTGACACAAATTCCGAATCTTAACCTTCATAGCGACTCTTCGCAGAACAGACGATGGTATCATTTCAGTTCTGTGATGTTGTGGCTCAGGACCTTTGTATCGCACCATATACATAAGTTCATCACCATCCTTATTCACTCCAAGAAGCGATTCAATTTTTCGCCCGCGCTCAATCTGGTACTTCTTCGTTGGTCCTGTTAAACATTATTTTTATTTCTTATCAAAAAAAAAGAACAAAGCTTGGGTAAGAACTCAAAACAGTGTAATACTCACCATGCTTCACGATGGGAACCTTTATATGTCCAACAGTTCGAGCCGATTTGTTTTCATCACTTGGTTTCTGAAACAAAAGACATGAAATCAGCATGAGCACCTTTAGAGCTGCGAACAATGACCTCATCTTATATGGTTCTATGATTTCAAGTTAGGAAACGTTTTCTACGCAGCTGAATCCATGTCCCAAAATTGCTAGTAGTTTATTTGTTGTTAGTCTGATTTCTGTAGACTAACAATTCTTATAAACGTCCAACTACAAGTGGTTAATTGATTCCGAAGAAACGAAATCTTAGACGGAAGGCAGAAACCAATAAGAACATCAAGATGTAAAAACGAGCGTTTTGTTGCCCTGTCTGTGGCCCCTCGGAAATAAATAGGTCTGATACCCCGAAAAATAAGATACAAGCTTGAAGACATGAGGGCTCACCTCCGAGGCCTTTCCATGCACGAGGTGAATCGGTCGGCAACTTTAGGAGCTTGCCGCTCTCCACGCTCAAAAGTGCATGGTAATAGGGCGGTAGAATGTGGTACACGAAAGCCATCTTCCCATTCTGCCCACGCTATCCCGATTGTGTGGCCTTGCATCAGTACCAAGATCTCACAGAGGAACATGCACTCAACGGAAGGGAACGATCAGCAGGTAAAGGCCAGACAAGCCACGGCTATGGGTAAACCTGTGGATGGCCATGTGGCAGCGCGAGCGGAGTCGAGAGACGGCATCTGGATATCACTACCCTCCAGTCTGTTCCGTGTATTTTTGAGCGGAGAAAGTGGCACACTACTACAGCTGCGATCTCATTCACGTCGCACATGACAACGGACCAATAAAGATGAGTGTACAGTGTGCCCTGAGACCACTTCTTTCGTACTCTAGACGAACTTGGAAGCAATGAATGGTATGGTTCAGTGAGGAGACTTTCAACCCACCTCGGTGTCTTGAGCTCTCACCTTCCTAACAAACCCACTGTTTCTCGCGGGGTTCATGCGAGTTGTAAATTCCTTGGACTGGTGGCGAGTTTTATCGCGCCATACATAGGCAGTGTGCGTAACCGCGTGATAGCTGTCTATACGTCGGTACTTATAGTCCCCATGGGCATTCGTCCTGCTCACGCTGTGATATCTCATATAAAGTTGCAAGCACGTGGTAACACATATAACACCCCCTGTTACGCTATTCGGGCCGGCTCAAAAATCGCATGCCTGTTGCCCGGCGTCTCCCGCTGATTGCTGGGTCGCTTCGACTACGAGTTCGATGGAATTCTCCCACCATTACAGCTATCCAACGACCACTATGGACGGTGAACGATTTCAGAATGGCGTGATTGAATCGATGAGTGAGCAAATACGAGCGGCATCCAAATATTACTCCCACTAATGTGCCATCTCTATATAGTCTCATATGCAATGCTCACGCTCACCATTTGCATTCTACTCCCTTTTTCCCTGCTGCTAGCACGAAACTCGGACTTGGTGACACCAGTCCTTTCACAAGAGTGATGGCAAGCTCCAATAGGACACTCACCGGCAAAACCCGCGAAAAAGAACTGATAGAACTTGCTATGTACTTTAAAGTATACGAAACTCATTTGTCACATTAACATCCTAAGTGCTGATGCGCATTCAATTTAAACCCTATGAAAAACACGACTGTCAATTGGAGTTGTTCTCCTGAATACCACTGACAAGTTTCCCTAACGATTTGTGCCATCAGCTTCTTAGCAAATAGAAGGGACACCACAAACAACATTACAATCTTGGTAAAATGCTGAGTAACAGGTTAGCAGTATGGATAGCACCGTTTCGATCTTGAAGAGAAGGACAGTGGTGCCGTTACACTCGAAATCTCTGACAAGGGAGGTCGTTCAGGGCGTGGTGCGCTTTTCGAAAACGGTTTTTTTGCATACTGTAGGGGCTCATGCAAGGACCTGAAAAGTGTGCTTCATTTTCGCTGCGCGCTTCCAGGAAAGGTAAAATACGAGTGAACAAATCTTTGGAATCTGCTTCGTTCTGTGCCTCTATACGGCGTATTTACTTGCAACTTAGACCAGTTGCTGAGTTGGGGGTCCTTATAAAGGGACTATTTGGATCGAAGCGAAAAATCGCCGCAAGTGAGCTTCCAACTTGGGTTACATGATCAAGGGTGAACGGCTTCTTGCCAATGGTTTCATCAACGATTAGAGCAATACGCAGAGTCAAGCATCGGATGGCCTAGCGGAGTGGAGGTTTCGCAATCGGACAGTGAGGATGGGGTCAATGGTTAGGCTCCTCTTGCGTTGCGGCTTTTTCCATTTTTTTTTAGATTTCGCTGTTCTCGCTTCCATTTGTGTCTGCGCATGAATATAACTCGGATATTTGCCACTTATGAGCACATTCTGAGTAGCTATACCCCACGAGTCACTGCTATTCATTTATTTCGATCTTCACGCACCATTAAACAAGATTGTTGCTGGACTTTGATCCTCATACGCTATACACTGGATCTGATTGCGAATTCAGTAACTTCTGGTGCGGTGTTAATTAAAGACAATTTGGGGCGCACATCTTCTTTCCACTGAATTTGTGTGTAACACCAATATAGGGAACGTTCAGCGACTATTCTGTCGCCAAATTGCGTGGACTTCAATAATAGGTGTTAATTAGTGATCAGGGCCACTTGATTATCACTAAAAAAGAACATTCGGTCAAAGCAATTGTTTTAAACTTCTTGGTTTGCTTAATGAGTTGTCCGGGGTCCGTAGCGTCAACGATACGTCATCGCTGTTACGAAGATGTGAGACTCCGCTCACATTGCCGACCAAATGTTGGGTCATCTACAGCCCAAAAAAATCAAAAAAAAATTTTCGCTCAAAACTTGCTCCTATGGTAATCGACACCCCTGGTAACGATTCTAGACTTCACTTTCGGTTCCAGTGCCATCTGCACCGGCATAGCGCCGAAGAGCTGAGTCTGTGCATACTAACGAATTCGAACGAAAAAGAAGTTTTGCTGCATAAAAGTAGAATTGTTCAGTTATCGTGAGTGTTTTTGTTAGCACCAATTATTTAGAAAAACATGGACCAAAAAATGAAAAATTGTAGAAAAGCAAAAATTTGTCTTCGTGGGATGCCGAAGCCATCGACCGCTATTTTTTACGTTTTTTTTAATTCGTAGAAGCGCGGCAGCGAAAAATGAACCTCAGTTTCTGGTCTCGTACCCTACATATTGCACGAAGACCATTTGAAAAAGGCTCACCACGCGCCTGAACGACCCTCCCTTCGTGAGTGTGGGCGAGCGCGCAGCGTAACTTTAAAGACAACTCCGGCGCTCAGTAGTACATGGTCGTCCCTTCCTTATGGCAAGTAGTCGCATGCCTCAAGCTAGAGACTGTTTCCACTATTGCGACTCCACAGTGAGGCGAGGAGCGAGCTACATCCGCTCAAGAGTCTAGTTTCCAAACGTCCCGCCCAGTTGGACCGCCCACTTGCTAGATGCCCTCCGACCGACAGCCGCTCAGTTTGTTCTCTGTTTAGGAGCGGGCATTAATCGGAATTGCATTGTACTTTTTGCTGACGCGCGCTCGACGACCGATAACTAATTCTGCTCTCCTTCATTACATTTTATTCATTGGGGCGCACATACCAGTCAACTGCAACCCATCTTCGCAAGCGTGAATTTTTGTTGTGGCAAAAGCTCGACATGCACTAAAAGCCGCCACAATGCACGTACCACAGGGAGGTGTGACCTGTAAAGGAAGCGATTTTGTTTTATGGTGTTTTGAGGGCCTTTGTTGCTTTTTTTCCTATTTGAGGAATTACTTGTCAGCAACTATTTCATGATTGAACAGCGACTATCCTTGACACTTTTATCACGGGAGTATCTTTAACCAAACATGGCAGTGGTTTATGCTTTTTGGTGAGCTTTTTCATTTCTAACACCATCGCGATCATGTCTCTCTCCAAACATTGGGGAAGACAGCTGTCCCAAACGAAACATGCTATGATATGTCAAATCCCACGCTCACTTCGTCTATAGGCTAATAAAGGGTGTTCATTTCAATAAATCTACTATGTTCACCCCTAAAAATGAACGTTATTGCGGAACAATGTACTCACCTAAAGGACAATGTCCCGCTGTAATACGTGCGCTTACTGCTTCAATAAAAGCACGGCTTCTTGCACAAACAAAAGTGAGTGACAGCAACATAAAAAAGCTGGAGATACCGTGGGTGGAGACCGACTTTTTCCTCCGTAGGCCGATTTGCTCAAATGTTGTCTGCCTGGGGTAGTTTTGACTCCAAGAATACGAATATCACAATTCGCTCAAGGCCCCAAAACTTCCTGGCGCCCGCGCGCCACAGGCGCCATATGATTTGGGGGTATTTTGGCGGGCCGGCGCCGTGCGTGGCGGGCGCCATTAGTTCGCTTGATGCGGTATGTGATTCGAGCGGATGTGATATTCGTGTTCAGCGGTCGAACTACCCCCGGGAGCCAAGTTTCAGGCAAATGCCCACGAAGAAAAAGTTGGTCAGGAAACTGTCCTGATTTCGGATGAATGGGGCAGTAAAGGTAATAGTGCCGAGTGATGTGACCACATTCTTTAAAAATCACCCATTGATTTACTAATACGTCGACGAGAGAATGATAAATGCCTTCAAGCCAGGTTTCGCGATGAGCCAGCGCAATGCTCTAGGCATCGGGTTGGACAAAAGAGTTTGTAAGGCCAGTTGATTTGCTTATCAAGAAAAAATTGAAAGAAACCTCAAGCAACGCCACTCAAATAAGGCCCTGTTGCCGCCCGTGCGAGCATGAAGAATCGATGTGGATATTCGGATCCAACAGAAAGCAGTCGAGCAGTATGGCGAACAAGCAAAACAGAAGGAGCAAGCCTGATCATTTTTGGGCAGGGTCATTGACGAGCCTTGTGCTCCACTTTCGGAACTCATCACAGGATTCGTTTCTTTGCCGTCCAACACCACATCGCCGTACGACGAGCTTATCCTACTATATAAGGGATAAAGACTTTCTCTCGTTGAGGCTCTATCAAGGACCAGCGGACGCGCGTCGCGGGCCTCCTCCTCTGAACAGGCCCGGTGCC